ACAAATCAGAGGGACATTGTTGGCTATGGGTTACAAGAGCCAATGTAGAAGGAACGTACCCAAGTAACAGATACCAAGACAACACATTCTCCCCTCTGAATGAGGGGCATTTGACTGGATACGAAAAGGCTTTTGATCCAATAGAGACACCCACAAACAAAATGGAAGGTTGGTTTTTTTTGCTGATTTCCCTATTCTCCGGCATTTTTCCACCCCGCATCAGTTGCAGACGTCAGGAAAGCTACCACCAGGGCCAAGCAGATGCCAGCAAGGTTAATGAATAGAGTCAAGGAAGCTGGTAGAGGCAAGGAACACAAATTGCTGCAGAAATGGCAGCGGATACTAAGGGAGGCAATAAATAAATTTGAGGAGCACCACTAAACACACACATTTAATGCATTAGGAAACCAGCTAGGCAGTTGGATCTTTGGACCAAAAGGGAGTTAGAAGGAGACTGCAGAGAACCTGAATGAATTACCGTATTGGCCTGAATAGAAGCTGCACTTTTTCCCCCTTTCCAATTCCAACTATGAAAAGTTAAAGTGCGGCTTAAGTTTGCGACCTTACAAAAATTGGCTCGGAGTTACAATTCTACCAACCGCAGCAATTTTCAGCCTGTAACCCAATTTTAAGGGAGCGGCTTATATTCAGGTATTGTCTTTTTTTATTCCCCCCCCCCCCGAATTTTAAAGGTGTGGCTTATTTGCAGGCGCGGCTTATATTCGGGCCAATGTGGTATTTGCATCTGTCTTCACAGTGAGAGATGTAGGGCAGATCCCTTACCTAAGCTAACTTTCTCAAGAAGAGAGCCTAAGGGACAGAGGCAAAAGGTGATGACGGGAAATGACGTTCTAGGCCTTATTGAGAAATTAAAAAGGAACAAATCATCCACGGAAGGAGTTCTTAACTCAAATGCAGAACTGCTGATTCTCCAGCAAAAAAAGTTGTAACTTGTCCCTAAGATCAGCTTCACACTTGCAGCTGTACTTGTGTGTACAGTTCTGATCGCCATACCTCCAAAAGGATATTGTAGCGTTGGAAAAGCAAAGAGCAACCAAAATAAACTGAGGGTGTAACAACTTCCGCCAGTTTACAGCAGCATCTGTGTGAACAGAATCCCAGATCAGATGGCCTTTGGGCTGATTCGGCAAGGTTCTGTCTTATGCCTTTAGCACCAGGCCCTGCAAAATTCCTGCTGGCACCCTATGTGATTCAGAGGGAGGTCTAAGAGCCAGAGTTGGGATTTCCTCTCTGAAAATCTGCGTAAGTGGGCATAAATGCATATATAAATCAGCACACGCAGATCTGTGGGCCTGTACCCAACTCTGTCAAGTGACTAGGAATGCCCCTGCCTGGAGAGGATGTGATTTCCGAGCTGCATTCAGCCTGAAGGGTTCTGAGTTGTGCAAGATGGTAGCAGAATTTTCCAGCACGGCAGCAGCTGCCAAGAAGCACACATGCAAGCATTTGTCCTTCCCAGATGTTTGCAAATTGTCTGGCATACGCTGTTCCTTTGGCTCCAACAATCACTTTTTGTGTTTCCAGATTTCCCCCCTTAGGCTGCAATCCTAACCCCATTTGCCTTTGAGTAACTCACATTGAATGCAATAGGTCTTACTTTTGAGTATGTTTTTCAATAACGTTAAAACGCACACAATAGCAATATAATATTTTACCTTTTTTAACCTATTTAACCCTCCTGGAAAGCAGCGGGTTATTATCCCTTAAATGTACATACAACCAATTGATTAAAGGTCCATAAAAACGTGCTTTCTCCATATACCGTATTTTTCGCTCTATAGGACGCACCGGACCATAGGAGGGGGAGAACAGGGGGGAAAAAATCTCCCCCTCTCTGCTCAGTGCCCCTTCAGCGAAGCGGCAGGAGAAATGGAGCCCCTTCCATTTTTCCTCCTGCTTCGCTGAAGGGGCGCTGCGCAGCTCTCCCTCTCTGCTGAAGCCAGGAGAGTCTTGCTCTCCCAGCTTCAGCAAAAGGAACCTGAAGCCTTCAGAGCACAGCGCGAGTTCCCGCTGCCTCCAAAGGTTTCAGGCAGCTATCCCTGAAGCCTGGAGAGCGAGAGGGGTCGGTGTGCACCGAGCCCTCTCGCTCTCCAGGCTTCAGCGAAAGCAGCGCAAAGCCTCCAGAGCGCGGAGGGGGCGCTTCCTCTGCGCTTCGGAGGCTTCACGTTGCTATCGCTGAAGCCAAGGAGCCTGCATTTGCTCCATAAGATGCACACACATTTCCCCTTAATTTTTGGAGGGGAAAAGGTGCGTCCTATAGAGCGAAAAATATGGTACATTTTTCTTTCCAGTGCTGGAGTGTAGATTCCTTTTTCGTAGGGGTTGTGACTAAAATAGTAACCACGAGCCAGATTCAACTACTCATTTCCGTTAGCAGAAAACAGAACAAGGACTCCCACTAGGGCAACATGGCTTTCCCCCTCTCCTCCCCCTTCACGCCCTCCTACCTCCCCCAAATCTGTTCTGGAGGATCGGGGGAAACCCCCTAAATAGCTGGGGAAGGAAAGGGGAGATTGTTCCACCAGGCAAGCAGAATAGCTTGCGTTGAGAAAGCAATCTCCTTGCAGTGTTTCTCAAACTTGGGTCCCCAGTTTTTGCTGGACTCCAATTCCCATCATCCTTAGCTAGCAGTACCAGTGGTCAGGGATTATGGGAGTTGTAGCCAACAACAGCTGAGGACCCAAGTTTGAGAAAGGCTGCTAAGGGCTACGCTGAATTCTACCCCAAGTCCAGGAATGGAGGACAGTAGTTATTCAGGGTTAGCCATCACCCGAATTTTGGACATTTCTTTTTCACTGCTGGACTCTTTCTTTTTAAATCCATGTTGTTGGATATAGTGGTACCTCTAGTTAAGAACTTAATTCGTTCCGGAGGTCCGTTCTTAACCTGAAGCACCACTTTAGCTAATGGGCCCTCCCGCTGCCGCCGCCACGTGATTTCTGTTCTTATCCTGAAGCAAAGATCTTAACCCGAGGTACTATTTCTGGGTTAGCAGAGTCTGTAACCTGAAGCGACTGTAACCCAAGGTACCACTGTACAGTTGACAAACTGCGTCAGAGCTGGGGAACCAATGGCCCTCCAGATATTAAGGTAAAGATAAAGGGACCCCTGACCATTAGGTCCAGTCGTGTCCGACTCTGGGGTTGCAGCGCTCATCTCGCTTTATTGGCCGAGGGAGCTTCCTGGTCATGTGGCCGGCATGACTAAGCCACTTCTGGCAAACCAGAGCAGCGCACGGAAACACCGTTTACCTTCCCGCCGGAGTGGTACCTATTTATCTATTTGCACTTTGACATGCTTTCGAACTGCTAGGTTGGCAGGAGCAGGGACTGAGCAATGGGAGCTCACCCTGTTGCGGAGATTCGAACCGCCGACCTTCTGATCAGCAAGTCCTAGGCTCTGTGGTTTAACCCACAGCACCACGCTACAATTCCCATTGTTCCTGACCACTGGCTATGTGGGTTGGGGCTGATGGGAATTGGAGTTCAGCAACATCCGGGTGACACCAAGTTCCCCTACCCCTGGACTACATGGTAGAAGCAGCTACTCTGCTACGGAATGGTCTGTTTTGTTTTTAAGATACACACGTATACACACAGGATGAACACACAAAGCCTTCTAATTTAGAACAGTGGGGCTTAATTCTGAGGAAGCCATGTATTGAATCAGGCTATGGGGTGGTTTGATTTCACAGAAACACACTTCACTACTCACATAGCTCAGCCAGTAGAGCATGAGACTCTTAATCTCCGGGTTGTGGGTTTGAGCCTCGCTTTCGGCAAAAAGATACCTGCATCTCAGGGGGTTGGACTAGATGACCCCCATAGGACCAAATTTACCCTCATGGTCCCTTCCAACTCTGTGATTCACCTGACAGCAAGCTAAAACCCACAGGCCCATCCCAAAACTTGATCTCACACTATGAAACCAAACCCTTTCCGGTCCTGTGGCTGCACCAATTGTTTCATCTGTTGCTGGTTGCTGTGCGGAAAAGACTCGCTACCTCAGCCCAAGTTAGGCAAGATTGCAGGTTGTCCAGATTTTTTTAAAGCAGTAAATGCAGCAACTGACAAAGGGTGACTTGGACAGTGTTAGCGGATGTGTGCATAAAGGCATTTCCCTTCAGGGGAAAATCAAAATATAAAATATTTGCCGGATATGAATAGATATCTTTTCAAAATCAAGTGCCACTGGGGGTTGTTTCTTCTTGTTTTCCAAGGTGTTTCTTATTTTTTAAAAAAATCTGTGTGGTGCAAACAAATTTTTATTGCCCAGTGTTGCCCAGAGTCTTAATTAGTCCTTAATTGCTAACCCACAGTTCCTCTATCATAGCCATTAGGCTTCGTTGCAGTTGCTTTCCAGCGGAAAGGCCACACCCATGTTGCCCCACTTAATCTCAAAAAAATGTGCCTAGAAAATTGCTGTAGGCAAGCCAGCCTTTGCCAAATTAGTTCCCGATTGTACCTCCCACCAGCCCAAGGTAGCAGGGTTTATACCTAGCTGCTGAAAGTTGATACGTTTGCAAACCAAAGCTGCTCCACTCCCTCGCCTACAAGGGAGCAACACTTCTGGGCAATTGCACATACGGATGCTCACAGGGCACGCATACACGTGAACTTGTAAATCTGTGCTTTGCTACCCGGAGCTTAAAAACAGGTGTATTTGGAGAGCTTCCCTGCAGAGAGCAAGTGGGCGCAGACTGAGGTAGCCATCCTGGTGCGCTCCAGATGTTGCCCAACTCCAGCGCGCAAAATCGCTACCCGTTGATCATTTTGACCCAGGCCATCCAAGAGGGCACCACGTTGGCTACCCCTGACTCCGAGCAGGGCAGCTCTCTGCGTTCAGGGATGGAGAAGTGTTTGGACACGTCCTGCCACGTCCCACACGGAGGGGAAGCGAAGAAGGCGAAAGAGGAGGAGCAGCGCAACGCGCGCTCCGGGGAGAGAATCAGAGCGCCGCGGGCCCGGCGCGCCGCTTACCCGGCTTCTTGCCCCACCATTCCGCCGCCAGCACGGTGAGGTCGCTGTCAGCTCGGAGCCAGATGGCGAGCTGGATGATCAGGTAGATCAGGAGGCCGGCCGCCGCCAGGGCGCAAACGAGACCCCAGCACACCATGGCGAGAAAGAGCGCCCTAAGAGGCAGAGGGGCCCGCCGCCCTTAAGAGGCAGAGGGGACGGAGCCAGGCGAGAGGGGCCGCCCTTCTCTGCCAGCAGGGAGTGGCCGTGGCTCCGAAGAGGCCCCATACAGGGCTGAGCCGTCCCCGGAGGGGTGGAGTTGCTTCGCGCGGTTCTCTCCAAGAAAGCGGCTACCGCCCCCTTCGTTGCGCGCGGCATTCTGTGCAGAGACTGGAGGCGTGGAAGGTTTCCAACTGCCCAGGGAAGGAGCTCGGCTTGGCCTGTTCCTGTGGCTTTCACAACATAGAATCATAGACTTGGAAGGGATCCCGAGGGTCTTCTAAGCTAGTCCACCCCCCTTGCAAAGCAGGAATTTCAGCTAAAGCACCCATGACGGATGATCATCCAACCTCTGCTTAAAAACCTTCAAGGAGAGTTCGCCACCTCTCCGTCCCACTGTCGAACAGCTCTTGCTGTCAGAAATGTTTTTCTCGCTCTCGGAATATCAGCGCGTGTGTGAGCATCCACTGTTGGAAGATTCAGGATGAAGAAAAGGGGCCACAAAGCGTTGATGGCCACCCATGGCTTATGTTAATGGCTTTTGGCTAGAACAATAAACTTTGTGACTTCCCTATGTTCATATATTGGTAATTTCTAGGGGCTGTGGTGCCAGATGATGCCAGTGCTGTTTTCAACAATTTTAGGTAAAGCTAAAGGGACCCCTGACCATTTGGTCCAGTCGTGGCCGACTCTGGAGTTGCGGCGCTCATCTCGCTTTACAGGCCGAGGGAGCCGGTGTACAGCTTCCGCGTCATGTGGCCAGCATGACTAATCCGCTTCTGGCAATCCAGAGCAGCACAAAGAAACGCCATTTACCTTCCCGCCGGAGCGGTACCTATTTATCTACTTGCACTTTGACATGCTTTCGAACTGCTAGGTTGGCAGGAGCAGGGACTGAGCAACGGGAGCTCACTCCGTCCCAGGCTCTGTGATTTAACCCACAGCGCCACCTGCGTCCCTTCAACAATTTTAAATACACTTAAATTGCATCTACAAGCATCCTTCTGCTGGGCCCCTTCCAGCACTGGCAATTCTCTGCGCAGAAGAGATGTTCGTTTGCTCTCCCCAAGCTTGCTTTCAGTAGGTTCTCCCTGGAAACTAAAAGTTAATACTGTTAATCTTTAACTTGTTGCATCCAGCACCCTGTTGCTTACCACAACCCTTGGGGGTTGTTTCTCTAGAAGGGTACAGAAAAATTACTCTTGGAGGCCACTGGTTACACTCCTCCACACAACTAGCCAAACTTGTTATTGTGGGGCCGGGCAAAATACTGGCTTTCCATCCACAATTGTCTGGCTGTAGTTTGCTGCTTTGGTTTCATTCAGTGTTTATTGCTCCCTGCCCACCCCCCCACCCCCAAATTTGAAATACCACCCAAGCTCTTGTCTCACTATAAACTGATCAGCATTACATGAGTGCATTAAAGGATAAGGAATTGACAGGAGTACTATTTCCTTTTTGAGATTTTGCTAATTTAACCATCACGGTGTTGTGAAAAAAAATGAGTTTCTTACCTTTTTTTGGAAAGATACATTTGAATTATTTTTTTATCCTACCCACCCCTCTCCAAAGCACGAGTTATAGAGTATGCAAAAGTTATTAAATGACTGAGAGTTCCTGATGAACCAAATAATCTGTGTGCCAGGATTTCTCAATGGAAAAGATGTGGTTTAAGATAATATTGCTTCCCATCATTGTAATCTGTTGCAGCAACTGGAATTCCACTCAGTAGACCACTGAAATTACTGGTAATAGGATTAAGCAGCAGGAAAACCAGATGCCTTCACCTGCCCCACCTGCAACAAAACATGTCTTACAGCAGGCGCTGTAACTTTCATTGTCTTCTTAGGCAGATGGATGCCAACAGCAGTCATGTCCATTCATTTTAATGGTTCTATTCAGAATAGGGTCAACATTGGCTCAGACCCAGTATGAGATAAAAGAATGCGGCGAGTTTCAGAAACGCAAGAGTCTTGTGCCACCTTCAAGGCAAACAATTTTTGGATACTGCGTTCATAATCCTTCCCGAACTAGAGCCCACAGCCTAATGCATAAACTCCTATGCCATAATTAAAGCTTAGTTCTTAATGTGCTGCAAGGAGCGAAAGCAGGAAAATCAGCTTGCCCTGGAACAGCTGTAATACAAAAAGGTTTCACGATTTCCACAGGAAGTAGTAGTAGTAGTAAATTAATTATTTGTACCCCACTCATCTGACTGGGTTGCCCCAGCCACTCTGGGTGGTTTCCAACAAATATAAAATCACAATAAAACATCAACCATTAAAACAGGGCTGCCTTCAGATTTCTTCTAAAATTCAGATAGATGTTTATCTGACGTCTGACAGGAGGGTGTTCCACAGGGCAGGCGCCACTGCCAAGAAGGCCCTCTGCCTGGTTCCCTGTAACCTCACTTCTCACAGTGAGGGAAGACTGGGCTGAACGGCAGAGGTGCAGAACCTACATAATCCTGCAAAGGAGAAATTCCCAACACCTAAAGAAGAACAAGCAACTGGTTTGGCAAACAATAGGATCCAAATTCCTGGTCTTGGCCAATGATGTAGGCGTCGGGGTCCTGTTCTGCTGGTTAACTTGTGCGCCCTCTACTGGGCATTCTGCAGCAGAGCACAAAACATTATGCATCCAAGCCATGCGTGCGTGAGAGAGGAATCATGAGAGTTTCATTATGTTCTGTGTATCACAAGTTTCCATGTTTGCCTCGCCAGAAAGCGGCGGTATGGCAGGGAATGTAGCAATTCTAAAGTAACAGTCAGCATGACCTTGACAGAAGGGATAACAGAACTTGTTTAAGCCAGCTGGACTCAGCTTCTGGGTTGATCCAACACCTTATGCTTTTCCTCTCCTGTTACTTCCTAACATATGAATCAAGTCCAGGATGTACACCATATACAATCCTTAAGGCAGTGTTTCCCAACCGGTGTTCCGCGGCACACTAGTGTGCCGTGAGACCTTGCCTGGTGTGCCGTGGGAGGGAGGCGGGAGAGGCGGGGCAGCGGCGGCATCTCCTGCTGGATGCAAATCCAACATGGCGGGCGCCTCCCTCGCTCCTTTGTAGGCGGACCATCGAGAGAGAAAGAAAAGGAGGCGAAAGAGCGAGAGAAGGCGCCTGCGCGGAAAGAGGAGCGAGCAGTGCGCCTGCGCGCCGCAGCGCCCGAGATCGCTTCTCCCCACCGCCCCTTGCTTCAAAAGAGGTCCAGGGACAGCGGGAAGCGCTTCGCGCTGCCCCGGACCTCTTTTGAAGCAAGGGTTTGCGGGGAGAAGCGATCTCCCCGCAGCCCCTTGCTTCAAAAGAGGTCCGGGGGCAGCGGGAAGCGCAGCGCTTCTTCCCCGCTGCCCCCGGACCTCTTTTGAAGCAAGGGGCTGCGGGGAGATCGCTTCTCCCGGTGCTCCGAAGCGGGGCGGTGGGGCGGGAACCTCGCACCCCGCCGCCGGGCATCGGAACGATGCCCCAATGCCGGGCGGTGGGGCGGGAACCTCTCCCCCCGCCGCCGGGCATCGGAACGATGCCCTGATGCTGGGCGGTGGGGCGGGAACCTCGCACCCCGCCGCCGGGCATCGGAACGATGCCCCGATGCCGGGCGGTGGGGCGGGAACCTCTCCCCCCACCGCCCGGCATCGGAACGAGGTCCTGGACCTCTTCTGAAGGCAGGCGGGGGCAAAAGTCTTTGCTCCCCCCGCCTGCCTTCCCGGGACAGCGGAGACTTCTCCGCTGCCCCGGGCGATCTTAAAATGCTGGCGGGCGGGAGCGAAGCGTTCGCTGCCAACCCCCAGCATTTTAAAATCTCCTCGGGGCAGCGGAGACTTCGCTCCCGCCCGCCAGCATTTTAAAATCGCCCCAGGACAGCAGGGGCTTTTAAAATGCTGGCGGTCGGCAGCAAAGCCCTCCTGTCCCCGGAGCTTGCGGGGCGGGAGGTGGGAAGAAGGGCTTTTCTTCCCACCGCCAGCCTTCAGAACAGCCTTCTGAAGGCTGGCAGTGGGAAGAAAAGCCCTTGTCCCCCCCCCCAGCCTTCAGAAGAGGTCGGGGGACAGACTGTCCCCGGACCTGGTCTGAAGGCGGTTTCCCTAGGAACGCATTAATTGATTTTCAATGCATTCCTATGGGAAACCGTGCATCGCAAGACGAAAAACTCGCAAGACGAAGAGACTTGCGGAACGAATTAATTTCGTCTTGCGAGGCACCACTGTACTTTTTATATAGGCACAGAGTTAAATTTTTTAACATTTTCTAATGGTGGTGTGCCTCGAGATTTTTTTCATGAAACAAGTGTGCCTTTGCCCAAAAAAGGTTGGGAAACACTGCCTTAAGGTATAGAACCTATTTAATTAAATCCAATGCAGATATATTTCTTCCTTTCTTAATACATTCTTGTACTACACAGGCCTCGAATGTGATTAAGGAAAGGTCCCCGGATTGTCAAGGGACGTGGGTGGCGCTGTGGGTTAAACCACAGAGCCTAGGGCTTGCCGATCAGAAAGTCGGCGGTTCAAATCCCTGCAACGGGGTGAGTTCCCGTTGCTTGGTCCCTGCTCCTGCCAACCTAGCAGTCCGAAAGCGCGAAGTGCAAGTAGATAAATAGGTACCGCTCCGGCGGGAAGGTAAACAGCGTTTCTGTGCACTGCTCTGGTTCGCCAGAAGCGGCTTAGTCATGCTGGCCACATGACCCAGAAGCTGTAAGCTGGCTCCCTTGGCCAATAAAGCAAGATGAGCGCCGCAATCCCAGAGTTGTCCACGACTGGACCTAATAGTAAGGGGTCCCTTTACCTTTACCCTTATCCCAGAATGTTACGGACAATACAGCTGATGAGGTTGGCTAACTATAGGTAGCAGACACAGGCAGGCTGGCCCAGGCAGCTGGGTAGGCAGAACAAGGTTTCCGGATATTTCCTTGTTTTGCCCCGAAGGGCTTCCTCAAGCTGTTAATAGTTCTATATAATATAGACACTTGATAATACAATGATTACTATT